TTACATAACTTAGCTGCGAGCTAAGAAGGGAACACACACCACAAGACACGGTTTACACAGAATATAAGAAAAACGACCCCCATAGTGGAAGAACCTCAAGCAAGTTTTAACCATGACACATAAGATGAATAATCTTAACAAGTTTTAGTGTGTGTGTGTGTAAATTTATTATAGTTGACAAATACGCACTTTTTAAATAATTTTATAAAGGCAAGCAATGAAATAGATTAGCGTAATTAGGGCACCTGATGATGGCACTATGTTGCCGAAACATGTCGTGAAGTAACAGGTGAAATTGAGTGCACTACAAGACGGCAACTGTATACATATCATGGAAGAAAATCAGTGCAACAGGACGCTAAAATACAACATTATTGAAACCCACGAAGAATATGTCAGATCATGTTGATCTCCCGTGAGGGTCGATTCCTTGTATTTCTTAAACTTGTGGAATCTTAGCTTCTTCCTAGCCTATCGTATGATTCTCTTCACAGACTTCTTGGGCTAATTTTGATACTTCTATAAGACTCTCTCCGAGACTCTTCTTATGTTCATGGAGCCGCACGCCTAGACGACTGCCTGTTTCGCCAATGTAGCTTCTGCCACATTCACGGGGAATAATATAGACGCAATTTAACTGTTTCTGATCTCTTTCACGCCTGATTTTCATGAGTGAACTCCTAAGAGTGTCTTTAGTTCTTAAGATCGTCCTAACGTTACATTTATTCCACATATATTTGAACTGAAAAACCATTCACCCATGGGTTACTTCCAGAGCCCATAGGATTTCCCCCTTTATTCCGACGACTGATACCCTTGGAATTAGTAGTCAAGTCAATGAAATTTTGGGGATAACCCTTGAGCCGAAGTTCACGTCTCAGATTGCTAATTTCATTAAACAGATCTTGTTCTTGGCGTATGGCGGAAGCTCAATTGTGAAGATTCTGAATTAAACCTTCCACATACGGCGGGTGGTTAGATCTGAAATTGATAAATCGGCCGGTGCGAGTAACTTTTCTATAAACTGCGGTGGCCAGTGTCATCCCTTTCCTGATGACCAGAACATCCAGAAAAGGAATCAAACTGTCTGACTCTGTTTTTTGAGACTATTTTTGCACTAGACGGAAGACCTTAAACCTCTGAGGTGTCTGAAGAAGTTCCGTAACCGCTCTGGGCCATGAGGCTAGACCAAAAATGTGTCATTAACATAACGGAGCTACAGGGATGGTGTGTAATATGCCGCCAAGAGCCATTATCTCATCATTCTCAATGAAGGTATTTCCAACGATGGGTGATAGAGAGCTTCCCACAGTCATGACAGTCCAGAAGAACAGCAATTCGAACTGTTATACGCTATCGTCAGAACCATTTAGAATCTATGACGCCTATGAAAGTGCATAACAGGCTGGCACAACGTGTTTTTTAGTCATTTGTTAAGTGTGTAGATTAGCAGTACTGTTATAATTCTTTGTAGTTACGACTTATAAGAGGCCATTAAATCCAATTATCAATCCAAAGCCCGTGTCTAGTCACTAACTGGGGCAAAGTGTTTTATAATGATTTGTTAAGTGTGAAAATACTCATACTTTCTATGTGCTGGACTGCGTTTATTGGAATGTTTTATATTTATCGAACTATGACTTCTAGAAGCTGTCTTGAAGGACATAAGTCGGAATTTAGAATGTATTGCCGCAGTGATTCTCCGTCACAATCAAATTCAAACACTGAAATTTGCACAGTCGTAACCAACCAGTCCCGAAAACAATCGTTTTTACTCAATCCCAAAAGTTAGAATGAAATGCGTCTCCTCTCAGATTCGAATTGGCTTATTCAAACAAATTAGGAGAGCACACAATTTTGCATTCTCCAATTAGAAACATCAGGGAGCTATTTTCAGCTTAGGGTTTACGAGTAGACGCTTCACGTCTCCAGTAATTAACTTGAGCAGTAGCGTCCGTCGTGGAAACATCCCTTTAAATGTTGAGAGATTTGCTGCTATCAGAGTTCAGTGTTACGATAAGAAAACCGACTTCATACTAGAGTATCTCATTTTCAGCTTAGTCGATAGTTTTCAGTCTTAAAACTGAATGCAAGGCTTTGTCTAAGACTCTCCTAAGTGCAAGAATGTTACTAAAACCCTTATCTAAATCACAGTCTAAGTCAATTAATCCTAATTAATTCAAGTAAAAGTAGAGTATGCGCAAAAAATTCANCACGGTATATTAGGCCCCTATTTCATTGAGGATGAGGAAGGCAATGCTCTTACCGTCACCCAAGAACGCTACAGGGACATGGTGATCGGTCCATTTCTTCAGGATTTGAGAAGGTTCTGTCGTGCAAGGGGCCTTCACATGAATAGACAGTGGTATCAACAGGACGTCTTTTGATTTAAGTACTGTATTTTTTGGCTCATACTGTACTTTAAGGTAATGCAAAGTCCACACTCCTGGACTTTGGTCAAATGTAATGACGGGGCCGTTATATTTTGTGTATGTTTTTTATTCGTGTTAATTTGGCAGCCTGATATGCAACAGACTGTGTGCTGACGTTGGGTTTGACGTTTCATTTAGAAATGAATATTTCTAATATTCATTAGCCAATATTTTGCATTAGTCCATAGTAGTGTAAAACAATTTTCCGTGAATGTTTTCCTTGGTTAGTTCTAAAGACACTTGCATTACTTTAAGATACTTTTAAGCAGAATACCTGTGTTGTGATTCACGGAATAGATATTATTCTCTGGTTTATTTACATAACCTTTTTTTTTTAAATAAGAAAGGCTGCACATGGGGACAGACACGGGTACTTCCCAATAACAATAGCGGTAGAAACTAATTTACTTGCTTGCATTGTAATAATTTCCTTTCAATGTGATTTATAACAGAAGAATATCTTTAGCAATCGTCAACTATGTTATTCAAGATTCATACTTATATTGTAAACATGAAAAAGGAGACATAGTCCCATTCTTATGCACAAATGGTAACTTACATCCATTCTGGTGCTCATCTAGCATGTAACCTTCAGCCGAAGTTAAACTGTGTTTGTAATGCAAGCTCAAAAGAGATAGATTGAAGACTCTGGCTTGATAAAGTCGCCCACGCGAGCTCACCCCGTGGTTTTGACAGTTAAAACTATTTATTAATTTAAACTACCTAAGAATTCAATTTCATTGGTAGAGTTAATTAACATTGTGAACCCCAGATTTTGAATACATCCAATTTAACTAATTTAAAGGAGGTAAAGTCGTTTGAGGCGTGCACTGCCTTCGCTCCCTCGGAAGCCGGGATCGTGGGTTCGAATCCCACTCAGAGCATGGATGTTTGTGTGCGTTTTCCTGTGTTTGTATACAGGTAGAGGCCTTGCGACGAGCTGATCACCCGCCGAAGGAATCTAAGATCTAGAAAAACCGAAGTGAACGGAGAAGTTCATGGAGGTAGGCTTAGGCCCACTAGGGCTGTAGTGCCAAGAAAAAAAAAAGAAGTCGTTTGAAAGTAACGGTTTGCAGAAGCTGGTTACGCTGGACGGCGTTCTTCCAAAAAGAGTCTTGAATTAATATTCGGGCCGAAGGAAAGTAAAACTGCGTCACTCTGGTTACCGGTTTACACAAAGTAGTTGTTAAGGCTCACCATATTCAGTCAGCTTACAAGGAAATATAGCACAGAAGCCTTTGTGAACAATAATATTAAAGTGAAATTCGCACAGAAATATGTGATGTATCTGTAATACAATTAGTGAGTGTAATAAAACTGTTTAAGAAGTATTTTCGGTGTGCAGTCGAAGTAATTGGGTCACACTGTTTGGTTGGAGCAAGGCCCATTAAACTTTGGAAGCGAGTCTCATTTCTAACAACTGACTACCGGCAATGTAAGATCCATTTCTATCCTAACACACACATTCTGTAAACTATCTATATTTATTGGCTCTCATGCATTACTCATGCCCTCTTCGTCCTATCACCTTTATGCGAAATGAATTAAGAATTACATCGGGGTGAATTATATTTAACGGTGCACCAGGAGTGAGTAAATGTGTATAATAGCGTCTCTGCAACATCAGTTACGTCTCACCAAAGCAGAACTTACTACTCGTATAAATGACGTTCATAAATGCGTCTAGGTCTAAGTTGCAGGAGCAAGTCAGCTGGCCTCTTCCACTGATGTGGAACATTCCTAAAAATCACTCCCCACCGTATAAATATGTGAATAATATCTGAAGATAGATAGAAGTGACAAGAAGACGAAGAAGAAGACGTAAGAAGATGCTGGATGACCTTGGGGACAGAAGAGGATACTGTCATTTGAAGGAGAAAGCTCTAGATGGCATTAAGTGGAGGAATTGTTTTGGAAGAGACTGTGGACCTGTCGTTTGACAGATTACTGATGATGATGATGATGATGATGATCTGAAACCTCTGTAGTATTACTATACATAATTTAAATTAAACTAAAGTAACTGAAAGCTTTTTATATAGCTACGTATATCTGTGATGGAAACACATTTTTCATTCACTTTAACCCATCTTCACCTACCCAAAACACTTATAAATAATAAGCTTTGCCATGAATGATATAGTTTAGAATGGCGCAGTTTACTTTAATAATGGCATGTTTGAATGATGTAGATGAAATATTTGTATTTCTTTACAGGAACTGCTGAAAAACTTTTCCCATGTATGAGTAAAATGATATTGAAACACTTAACATACACTCGTTTCTAAAAGCCGAGCCTCACAGGGATGCAAAATTATTCGTTCTTCTTTGTGAACCACTGGGTGGGGGCGGTTTGTGTTAGTAGGATAGTAGTAAGCCTTCTTACCGATTGAGTTCTTGGCAGTGGCTGCTGGCAGGTCGTAATAGTTACACGACAGTCTGCGACCGTCGGAATACTCCACTAATCAGAGTTCTGAACACACTGAGTCAATGCTGCCAACATCTTCTAATTTGAACAGAGAGAAATTATCTGAATATTGTCAGTTAATGTTATAATGTTGGTGAATTGAAGCGGGTAGCTGAGTTGAAGGGGGGTTTGGGGGTTCTAACCCGGTCTAATTTGCGAAGAAGTCGGATAGAGTGAAAGATGGCAGATGTGTGTGGAGTTCCGGCTTATGAAACAAAGTCCTCTCCAGCTGTGGTCTCAGATAGTCCTATTACAGATCCGGGATCAAGTGTAAAGGTGTGTGCATGTTAAAATCCTATCAGTATTAAGTGACGTAATGCGGCCGTGCTAATATATTACAATTCAATATACCCATTAGAGTGAGACCAGTATACAACAGATTTGAATACTGTCCCGTGTTTGGTTTCTTCCGTACAACTTTCTTTTTACATGATCAGGACCGCGTTTCCGTAAGGTGGGAGAATTCAGTTCCAAGGGAAGTCGAACGACCGTCGCGTTATTGCGGTTAGCACTTCTTTGTATACGAGTCAGCCAATATTGCACAGATACGTTGACTTAAAACCATAGTTTTCTAAGGTTACGGAAAAATAACAGTTGTGCTTGAATGGTTTATACTATTGCACAGATGCATATTCACAAGCAGAATCTTTTTTAAGAATTTGGAAATCAACAATTTGCATGAATTGCAGTATTAAAACACATGCATTTGATGTTTAACTTATCGTTTCATGGGCTGGTATTTATCTTTTTGTTTACAAAAAATATACGAGCCAAAAATGCCAAACTGTTACTTTTTTTAAAGGTATTCCCCCTTTATACCAACACTTTTTTTTTTTCCATTCTACAATTCAGTCAAGCCAGCAGTATGAAAGGTTTTATCATGACTGTGTACCCAGTTCAGGATACTGCATTGGAGTTCAGCATCGGTTTGAAACTCCACTCTTTGTAGGTGCAGGTTCATTGATCCAAACAAATGAAAATTACTAAGAGCAAAGACAGAACTGTGAGGATAGTGGCCCATGATTTCTCAACCCATTGTTGCCAGTGTCACCTCAATCAGATTTGCCATGATGGACAAAGCGTTGTCATGCAGTAGGATGATATTAAATATTTTCCCAGGTTCCCCTCCCCTCAAATTGCTTGGTGTACGTCACTGTGAAGCAAGTTGCTGTAACTGTGCATTAATTTTTACACCATGTGGCAGAAAACATGAATCACTCTTTCTGAAGGCTGAAACTTGCTTTTTTTTTTCATGGGGTGGGGTGAGACTGAGCCCACTTGGTATGTCGGCCACTAATTGGCCTATTGTATCAGCACCATATGATATGGAGAATTTGGTGGAATGAGAATTGGCAGGGAAACCAAAGTACTTGGAGGAAACTTGCCTCTTTGCCACTTTGTATACCACAAATCCCACATGCCCTGATCTAGGATTGAACCAAGGCTGTTGAGGTGGGAACCCAGCGACTAACTGCCTGAGCTATAACATGGCCTTTGAAGCACACTTGACAGAATTGTACCTCCTGACAGCTGTGTCTTGAATATTTTGGGTGGTGGAGATCCCTTATGTCGCATTCCATGGTGGACAACTTTGTGTAGTGAAGTATTGCACCCATAGTTCATCAGAGGTCACTATTCACTCTAGGAATGTGTTGACCACCGATTGAAACTGTGCAGATGTTCAACAGACACAGCCACATGCTGCGGCTTCTGGTTGAACTTAAAAATCTTTGGTGGGATCCACCAAGCACACACTTTCTTGAACAGTAAGTGTTCATGGAAAATTGTTTCAACATGGCACTGTTGGATGCAGTATTGCACACCGTAATCTGCCTGTTTTCCAAAATAAGCCCTTCAACAAGATAAATGAGATGAATGTTCACTCCATGTACAGCTGTTGGCTGAATGTGAGCATGGAGACTTCCTTATGATCTTCAAAAATTTATTGTGCTAATCGTAGACACTTGCATGTGACAGGATCTCTTCCCCACACTGTGCATTTAACCTGTGAAGAATTTCTGTTGCCTTCACTTTCTCTTTCACTAGGAATTTGATGATACAGTGCTGTTCCGCCCAAGGAGTGGTTAGGTTGGATGCTGCCTGATGCTAGCTTTAATGCTCAGAAGTGGGGTGCTTGAACACCTGCCATGCATTGAGTGTGGTCTTGCAATTTTCCATAAAAGATTTTTAATTCTCGGGTGCTAAATGTTCAGGAAAAAATATAATCAAACTAAACCTTGAAGCACCCTTGTACTTTGCAGCATATTAATTCCATGATAATGGGGAGTATACAGTCAAGTTAAAAGACATTGTAGATATTAAATCATTTTGTTGTATATTGTGGAAAAGAGGATGTTTCTTGCAGTCGGCTTTTGGTAAAGTGGGTAATTTCCTGTAGTTAAATGTTGTATTCTGTTTGTTACATGCATTCGATCATTAGATACAAGCCTTAAATCATTTAGTATTTCTGCAGTAGCATATCTGGTTGAGGGGCTATGCTACAAGCCGGAAGGTCGCGGGTTCAAGTCCTGATGAGGTCGTTGAATTTTTTTAAATTGACCTAAGCCTTCCAGCCGCACTATGGCCCTGGGGTTGACTCAGTCTCTAACAGAAATGAGTACCAGGAATTAATTAAATAATTTTCCTGGGGAGTGAAGGACGGCTGGCGCGTAAGGCTGACAGCATTACCGCCATCTTTGAGCCAATTGTCTAGATAATGTGGGACCCTCAGTGTCTCACAACCCTATGGGCCTTCACGGCATGGTACAGGGATAGCTTTCTTTTTTACTTTTTATTTCTAATATATAGAAGTGCAAGGGGTGTAGAATGAAGAACAAGGTCAAACACAGACTTATATAACCTGGAACAAAATTTGCACCCATGTTCTGTGTGTTACCTGTTTGCTACTGTATTGTGTGTGAGATGTTTCACAAATTGGGCATGAAATGTAGTTTCTCATTCTGAGAAAGGAACATAGTTTGATTGTGTTTGAGAACAGGGTGTTGAGGAGAGTACATGGACATAAGGGAGAGAAAGAAAATAATAATAAGGCTGTGGAAAATTAGGCGTTGAAGAGCATAACGGTTTGTAGTCTTCATCAAATGTTGTTAGAATGAATAAATAAAGAAAAATGAGATACATAGGAGATGTAGCACTCATGGGAGAAATCGGAACAGAATATTTGTGTGAGAGCCTAGAGGGAAGAAGCTGTAGGGGAAGGCTAGACATATGGAGAGGATAATGCTAGAATGTATCTTAACATTTGCCCGTTCAATCTGAGATCAAAGTGTGCGATGCTGTCACTCCTGTGTTTGGCGGCTGTTTTAATGATATTTTACTATGTTAGATGGGATCAAGCCCCTTTTAATTTCACTGTGTCCATCTGTGGTAGGTGGAGTATAGGGTTAAAGCATGATTTCTGATACCATAGGTTGCATGTCCCTGGTGGGTCAAATGCTTCCACGGTGGTTGCCAAGCTGTAAAAAATTATTTGAAATATAGCTCTTTCCATGCATAGGCTTGGCAGGTCAGTAAGATTTAATGTTTTAAAGCTTGCTGACTGTATTAACAGGGGGGATTTTTAGTGTGTGGACTGGGTCCACGTCCCTGTGCCTCACAGCGACTGGTGCACCACTTCCTGCAAGTAACATACTAATTTTGCTATGTGGTACATCATGGTGCCACATACTTTAGAGCAATGTGTATTTCTATATGTCACACATGTGAAATACAGATTTGTTAGACAGTGTTGGCAAAAATTTCCACGTAAATTTCGCAGATAAGCAATTCACAATTTGGTGAATAAACTTGGACCAACAGGACTCTTAATAAACAAGAAACAAAAACATAAGCACCAAGTGCTTACTGAGGAGAAGTTATGTGATACAGGCGCCAGACATGAACATACATCTAGAAAATCACTGAAACGCCTAGCTCAAGAGATTGGAGTGTCAAAGTCTAGTGCAAGAAAGGCAACACAATTGCTGAAGCCATTCAGTGATAGTTGTTATCTTGTGTGCTGTAAATGCAAGAAGGATTGTTGTACCTGTGCTTTTTAACGGAACAATTAATTGCGAAGCTTAATTCATCTGTGAATTGTTAAGTACTTCATTCTGAAAAATATCGGCCGTCAGGCATGCTGATTCATTTGCAGAATTTGTATGCACCTATCAGCAAGTGGCACACTGTCCACTTTGAAGCACAGAGCCCTGGATCTGGTTCACACACTAGAATTCTTCCCTGTAGGTGCTTTTGGAGAATATAGCTGCAACCAGCAAAACATTTCATGAAAATATTTTGGACTCTAGATGAACATTTTATAGCTTATTGTAGGTGTAGAGGGGTTGTAGAGCTATGGTTTCTGCCGTCACCATGCAGCATGATAGGGACCCACAGTAGTAAGAAGGGTCTCTGCCTCTCTCCACCCCTGGGATAAAAGCAGTAGTGCCAGGTTTCTTTATTTCGTATTCCGTTAGTTCTTGTATAGGCAACCCAACATCTACAGATGCTTGAAATACACTATATGTTGTAAGATTTGAGGTTTTCATGGTGGTGACAGCGAAGAAAGCAGTCTTCTGAGAAGTGGCGCCATGTAAATATTGTGTTAACCGATGTTTTGGAGGAATGTATCGTCTCCATCTTCAGGGTAGAGCACCTGCCCATGCTGGTTCCTTGCCCAGGGATTTTCTTCTTTTCTTCTACCCTGAAGATAGAGGTGATATGTTCCTCCAAAACATCGGTTACACAATATCTACATGGCGCCACATCCCAGAAGACTGCTTGCTTCACACTTTATGTTGTGTGATATAAATTTCACCAACATTTTTATTGAACATCATAAACATCATCTCTTTTTTAGCCTCATCAGTAAATGAAACATATTGTCTTTCTTTTTTAAGCACCATTATAAGTACTTCTGTTTGTTTTTCAAGTGTGTATGTGCTTCATTTGAAAGCCATTATAATTTGTTATTTTCAGTAAAACTGAGATGAAGATGCGTGTTCTGCTATACGGTTTTTGTTTTAATTGTTTGACAAGTGAAGAAATAATTTTTGTTTGTGCTAGCAGAACACATCTGAGGTATTTATAAAATATCCTAGAATGCACAGACATTAATTTTGTTGCTGATTTGTGAAAACGTTTCATACCTACTGGTCAGGGCACTATGGAGAATGGAAAAGTCTTGTCCCTACCTGTAATCAAGTCCAGAACGTCTGTGAAACATATCAGATGTTTTAAATACAGGATGAGATGTGATTACATTAAACATAAGCATC